AGAGGCCCACAAGAGGCGCCCTGGAGACCCGGAGAGTGCACCAAAGGCTCCAAAGAGTCCTCCTACTCCTCCTCCTCGTTCTCCTTCTCCTCCTTCCTTTTGCTCCATCGTCCTCTTCCCCTTCCTCCCCCAAGTCTTCCCCGAGGGGGGGGCCAAAAATGGCGGGGGGGGGGGGGGGCATACAGTCCGATACCGTGGCCGAGCTCTGGCCAAAGCTGTCGGCCGCGTGGCCGCTTCCAAAAGGCGGGGGGCGGCGGTGACTCGCCGTAGGAGTCTCCGATACACGTATAGGAGTCCGCACTTATGGTACGCATGCAGCGCCCGTGCTGGCCATCTCACCGCATGTTAGAAACGTGGGACAGGGGAACAGAGGCGGGGGGGGGGGGGGGGGCGGCAGAAGATGGAGCACGAAGTGAAAACCGAGCAGGAGGACAGAGACGAGGTGGACTCGCGGGCACACCTCTGTGAAGGGGCCCCAGGACACGCAAATAAATACACACAAATAAACATACTCCCCATATTTTCCCATATGTTCTGGGTTTCTGTCTTCCCTCCCACTTCCTATATTTTCACACATTTTCTGGGGAATCGACGATGAATTGTGTCTGTGTGTTTTTGTTCCCTCCTGACTCTGACATGGTGCGCTGCACGAGAGCGAGAGAACCAGGGTGGAGTGACTTGCTTGGGTGGTAGTTTGAGCGCCCTGGGATGCACAAAAAGCGGGGAGGAGTGCGCCGAATTGAAGCAGGGAGTGGCATCACTAGAAGCACAATGAGGAGCGGGAGGACACCAGGAGGATGATTGGCATCTGGAGTGGGAAGAGGGGGACGGTAGGAGTGGCACCAAGACCACCGAGAAGGGATGACACGAGGAGCACAAGAGGGTATTGGGAGCAGGAGGAGAAGCACGAGGCCGAGAGCAGGCATGAGGAGGAAAAGGATCAGCACCAGGAGGGGCAAGAAAGGAGAGAGGAGGAGGGAGGAGGAGGGAGGAGGAGGGAGGAGGAGGGAGGAGGAGGCCGGAGGAGGGGAGGAATAGCGAGAGGGCCTGTGGGCAGACCTCCCCCCACGAGGCACGTCCTGCCCGTGGGGTGTGCCGAAAATCGGGCGAGGTGCCCCCCCCCATTGAGGGCCGGCCCCCTGCGGCCGTCGGTGGAGCTCCCACACTGGCCACGAGCAGCCTTCTCCTCCCTCCTCCCCCTCCTCCCTCCTCCTCCTCCTCCCTCCTCCCTCCTCCCTCCTCCTCCCTCCTCCCTCCTCCTCCTCATCCCTCCTCCCTCCTCCCTCCTCCCTCTTCCTCCTCCTCCCCATGGGGTACAAGCCGCGTGATGGATGTTTCGAGATCTGCAAGGTGGCCCCCAGGGGGGGCGCGTGCGCTGAGGTCTCGGGTCGAGCACCGACGAGGCACGACCTGCATGAGCGGCCTGCTGACCTGTGCGAGGTGTACCACGGAGGTCGCAGGTGATTTCCCTGCGCATGGGCCGCGCTCTGCGTGAGGTGTGCTCCGAACTTGGCGAGGCGGCCCCATGGGGTGGCGCCACTGTGGCCGCACGTAGAGCCCCCCCCCATCGCCAATTGAAGCCACAAGTAGAGCCGCCCCCTCTGGGGCACGATCCGTGCGGGGGGGCATGATGAAACGCACGCGCGAGCAGCAATGGCAGCAACGGCAGCGGCAGAGGCTGGCGGCGGAGCTGCAGCGGCCGCAGCAGCCCATGGGGCGCGACCCGAGCAAAGCGCTTCAGCCAGAGGAAAAAGTGGCGGGCTCCAGGACCCCTCCTCCTCCCTCCTCCTCCTCCTCCTCCTCCTCCTCCTCCTGCTCCCTCCTCCTCCTCCTCCTCCTCCTGAACCCAGAATGTTGCCATCTCTTGGGGGCGCCTCTGTTGCTTCCGCTGGCCTCCGCCGCCTTCCGCTGGCGGAGCCGGCCCCGTTTTATTTCCACAGACAAGCCACTGCCCCCTCTCGTCCACAGCTATGGAGGCCTCGTGTTGGGCTAGTAACACTACCTACCGTGCCGAATCAGATCGGGCATCGGCGCGATCGAGTTGTCCGATCGGAGCCCCTGAGATGCACTAGACGGAGCGAGGCCACGAGGAAGGACCATGGGGAGCCCTGGAGCACCCTGGAGCGCCTCGGAGGAAGAGGTGCCAACTCCTTCGATCCTCGAAGGCAAAGCCGTTTCTGGAGCGCGCCACATGAAACTCAACTGCTGCAGCGGCCGACAACGCAGCAATCGCAAAGGTAGATGCGGCGACAGCAGCGGCTGGCGCGGAGGCAGCGGCAGCCGCGGCGACAGCAGCAGCACTGGCAGAGCAGCCGCGCGCACCATGCAACAAGCAACGAAACAGTCAGGGACGGAGGGGCGAAGGAAAGGAGGGAATGGAAGAGGAGGAGGAGGACAAGAGAAGGAGGCGCGTGGCGAGTCGGAGAAAACGAGGACCACCGACCACAGGCAGGTCGGGAACAGCTTGACCGAACATAACCGAACGATGCAACGATGCACATGACCCTCGTTGTCTGGTGTCAGATTGCCACAACCAGGTGCTGTCCATTCTTGACTCTGTGTCCTGCCCAACTAAGTATCCACTCGCCCATGTCCCGTCAACAATCCTGATTTCTGTCCCTGGCGATGTAGATACAAAACAGCACAAAAAACAAATCACCGCAACAAGCCGCGCGTGCTCAACTAATAGGAGGTTGAGCGGTGAGAGCGACATGGCCCTGCGAACATCGAATTCGGATTCGGTTCGCGTCGGGCGCGCAGGCAAGGCGGAGCTGCGCGAGGACGACGGCGCGCTAGCGTAGACTGGGCCAACGTCGTGCAACCAATGTCTCACCTGGGTGCGCGGCTCCTCGCCGTGGTTGTCTCGTGGTTATCCCGTGGTTGTCCCGTGGTTGTCCCGTATATTGTCCCGTGGTTGTCCGTGTGTTGCCCTTCTAGATGTTGCCCCGCGGGTTGCCCCGTGGATTATTCAAGGGCTGTCCCGTTGGTGTTCGCATGGGTTGTCCTGTGCGCGCCTCGTGGTGATTCCGTGGGTTGCCCCGTTGGAGATGCAAAGCGCAAACAAATCGAAGAGCACATGGGAACAAAGATCAACATGCAAATCGAACGGTAAAGCTCAATTCAAATCGAGATGCTAAGTGAATTGTGATCGAAATGCACGCCGACAGGAACGCTGATGAGGATGCACATAGGAATGTAAATCCAGTGAAGTTCGAAACTCAAGTCGGCGCATTGCGAGTACTGCCAATTGGACTGCAATTCGGAACGCAAGCCCAATGGCACTCGGAATGCAGATTGGATATCAACTCGAAACGTAATCGACATGCACATCACACATCAACATGCAACCCCAGATGCACTCAGCACGCACATGCAAATTCAAATCAGCTACACTCGAAAAGAACATCGGAACGACAATTCCTCACCACAACATCCTTATCACCCGAAGGGTGGTCTATAACAAAACAGTGTAGATAATGTGAGGCTGTATATGTTTCCTCCCTCCGTTTCGCGATCGCGCCCCGATAACATTCCCCAATCAGTGCTTGCACTGAAGGGGTCCTAGCTAGCGGAAGTTCCCCAATCAGTGCTTGCACTGAAGGGGTGCTAACGGAAATTGAAAGATTTGGCGAACATTCCCCGCCGATCTTGGTGGCAAGCTGGGTTCCCAGGATCCTGGTTCCGGGTTCCCGGGTTCGCGGTGATTGGTTCCGGGCCGATTTCGGTGCTGGGTTCTGAGTTCCTGGGCTTCCGGGTTCCTGGTCGATCTCCCCAGACATGCGACGTCCTGATTTTTCCAGGACGGCGTCCCCGGAACTCCCGACCCTTTCCCCGGAACCGGTTTTTCGTCCTGAATCGTTTTTTGACGGTCCCGAGGCCTGGCGAGGGCCACACGAAGCCGAAAACGGCCGAAAGCCCGCCGTCCTGATTTTTTAACGACGCGATCATGTCTGGGAACCATCCACTGATTGGGGTTTTTCTCTGGTGTAATTGAAGGATTTGGCGAAAATTCCCCACCGATTTTAGTGGCAAGCTGGGTTCCCGGGTTCCTGGTTCCGGGTTCCTGGTTCCGGGCCGATTTCGGAGGGCGGCGAGGTTTCAGGTTCCCGGTTCCTGGTCCATCTTCTTATCGATCGGTCTCACCATCGATCTCATTACCGACTTCTCGATCGATCTCACCATGGATCTCACAATCGATCTCACTATCAATCTCACAAGCGATCTCACTAGAGATCGCATGAGCGATCTCGCGATCGATCTCACTATCGATCTCGTTGAATCGAATTCACTCTCGGTCTCACGATCGACCTTACAATCGTCCTCACTATCGATTCCACTATCGATCTCATGATCGATCTCACAATCGATCTCAAGATCCATATCATCAATTTCCAAATCATCCACTGATGGGGCTTTCTCTGGTGTGATTTTGATTCTGAATTGATGGTTCCACGATTAGCTTAATTGAAGGGCAAGAACGAAGTGGTCCTGAGTCCTGCTCACCACCGTGACTAGGTCTGACTGTACAATGAAGTAACGCGTACAGTTATACTCGGGCCACACGAAACCACACGGATCTCTTCAGAACTGGCACTTCGAAACGCTCGCAGAACTCAGCGTGTTTGGAGTGATTTCCGCCTTCCGCGGCCTGCTGCGAACTCTGGCCAGGAGGAATTATTACCGCGCGAGGCCATCATATGTCGCAGCGCCGTTTGTTACGCAGTTTGTTCTCGACGCGCCAAAATGGACGACGCCGACACCACGGCAAACCCACGGCAAACCCCGCGCCCCGCGCCCCAGGTAGACGATGCTGGCACCGTGGCAAGCCCACGGCGAGCCCGCTGCGCCCGAGGCGGCGATTGCCCTGGTGCCCTCGGCACCCTACCCAATGCGACAGGCCGCGCGTCGGAACAGACGGCGCGGTGACATATGAGACCAAACAAACGTCGGGCATGGGCTGGCTTGCACCAAAGCGCGCCAGGGTTCCCGGGCTGCGCAGCCTCGGCGTCTCCGCCCGGGGTGCTCGCGGCAGCCGGCTGCTCGGCTGCAGGCCCTGGGCTTCGTCTTGATTGTGATGCTCCTCGTGCCTCTCAGCCCGTAAATCGGGGATGGACAGACCTCTCTTTAGTAAAACGTGGTTTAGTGAAAACGACCTGAGGCCCAAACCTGGCGGGCCTCAAGCCTGGAAAATAACGGCCGCGGCGCCCTCTCGAGAACCGAAAACGGACAATTCACTAAACGACGTGTCACTGTTGGGGTGTCTGTCCACCCCCGAGTAAACGTCGTCAGCACCAGTGCCAACATCGGCACCGTCGGCACCCGCGTCGCCACAGTCACTGGCTGCAGTCACGGGCCCCGCGCGCTGCCACGGACACTCACACTGCGCTGCTTCGGCGGAGCTCAGCACATCCTGCTTCGCACTGTCTGAGCTTATAGCCCGAGTCAACGGGATACTTTCCAATACGCAGGAGGCATCTATACACCACCACCGTGCCAAGCTAGAACCATCCTGGCCCTGGCATGGTGTATACGCCCTCCTGGCCGAGGCCAGGAGGCTCTATACACCATCCTAAGGCCCAGGATGGCCCTGGCCTGGCACGGTGGTGGCGTATAGATGCCTTCGCCGGATCCAACCCATGTCTGTCGAAACCACTTTATCCGCGACTCTAAGTGTAGTGCGCGCTCGTATTCAGAAGCGATGGCCGACATCACATTACCAACTTCGGTCACGCTTGCGCCCGGGCTCCAAAAGCTCCTGCAGGACACGAACGTTCGGCCAATTGCGGGCATCTGGGAGCACCGCGCGGGAGCTGCGTGGGCGATCCCAAAAGACGCTCCCGAGGGGGCGACCGAAGTGTCTGAGGACAGCTGCGGGCACGCTGGCCGGGCACGGCTATTTTCCGCTCGGCAGCCACACGGGGGGCGTTCTGCTGAGGCAGGCGCCACCGCGGCACAAGGGGCCCCGCATTTGCGGCGGGGGCAGTTCCAAAGGGCAGTGCGCGCGTCGCGCTGCCGGCCCTTGGCGCCAGGACCAGAGCCGGCGGCGGAAGGCAGGCGCAAGGGGCTCGTCCAAAGGGGGGGGCGCCATGAGAAGGGAGGCCTGGGGCAGGATCGTGGGGCAGAAGAGGAGGGAGATGGGGGCTCAACGATAGGGGAGAGCGGCTCAGGGGGGGGCGAAACACTGACGTTGCATCCTCGATACATCGACCTCGAACCGATAATTTGGCGACGGGGGGTCGATGCAGTCCCTCCTGAACGCATCCCCCCTCCCCTACAGTCGGGGCGCGAGGCCACTTTTCCCCATAAGTTGAACTTCGATTTCCGATCGAAAACGTAACTCCCCAACGAAAAGGGTTCCTTCTTCAGGGCCCCGACTGTATCATTGCCCCCGAGGGGGTGGGGAGGGGGGGGGGCAGGAGGAGGGAGGCCAGGGGGCAAGGGGCCGGGAGCCGGCAGATCGCGCAGAGCAGGGGTGTCAGCTGGTGTGGCGGTTTGGTCCCGTGGTGGCTGGAATGGGCGTAGGGTCAAGTCGGGCCTGTCCCTCGACAGGGGGAATGTTCAAACATAGTCAGAACATAGTCTGGGGTTCAGTGGGCCCTGGAAACGGCAGGGCCGTTTTTCTACCGGTTCCGTTTTGCCGTTTTTGTTGCCACTTCCGACGCCGTTGTTTTACCGGTTCCGTCGCCGTTTTTTGACGGGTTCCGGCTCCGGTTCCAATCCTGGAGCCGTTTTTTTGCCGTTTCCGGTCGGCGTTTTTTTACCGTTTCCATTTTCACGGGACATTTTTCTGGAAACGGTGAAAAAACGACCCTGCCGTTTCCGGGGCCAATAAAGGTCTGGGGACGATTTTGTGTGCCATTTTTGAATAGTTTTGAATTTGTGTTGACTATGTCTTTGTTTCGTTAGGGGGACATGCCCGACCCAAGGGAAGGGGCGTCTCCCAGCCAGCCATGCGCGCAACAACTGAACATTCCTGCCACCGTCGAGCCCACAGCCCCCAACGGACATCGTTGCTTCGCACTGTCTCTGGCTCGACGCGGGAGCGCGCGGGCGAACCGAGAAATTTGCTCAGCCCTCCCTCTTCGGGGTGGAGGCCTCCGGTATGTCGTCCTTATTCCGGTTCATCCAGATCCCGAACAAAGCGTAGTCCTTCACGGCCTCCTCGTACCCGTCGTCCTCCTGCTCGACGCGCTTCGTCTGGATCAGGGGGCGCGAACGGAACATCAGCTGCTTCCCGACCTTCTTGTGAACTGGTGCCTCCGAGCGCTGAAGGCTCGCCTCCAGGCGGTCCGCGTTCTTCTTCTCGGCCTGCTCCTTCTTCTGCTTCTTCACGAGCTCGCGCCGATCCTTTTCCTTGTTGCGCTCCAGTTCTCGGAGCAGGTCCACCGTCTCCTTGTCGCCCGAGGCCTCCGCCTCGTGCAAGACCTTCAGGAAGACCTCGAGCCGGGCCTCGATGTTGGTGAGCTTGTCCAGAGCTTTCGACTCGGTGTCCACCTCGCTACCGATCGCGGCGTTTACCTCCTGCACCCGCTTCTCCAGCTCATTTAACATCTCTCTCTGGAGGGAATCGCCTCTACCCTGCGACAGCTGCAGCCGCAACTCCTCGCACTTCTGGTGTTCCTCTGCGAGATCACGCTCGAGTTTCTCCATGCGTTGCTTCAGCTTGCCGATCTTCTCTGTGGCCGTCCTGGTAAGGTCCTTGTTTTTCTCCTTCCAGTACTCCTCCATCTCCTCCTTGTCCTGGAGGTTTTGTATCAGGAACAAGTTCTGCTCCTCCAGCGTCGTGAACACGTCCAGGAGCTGCTTGGGTTCCTCGAAGTACAGGGGCGTCTCCTCACCACTGGAGATGTCCTCGTACTCTGCCTCGATCTGCTCCTGCGTCGGATACTTCTTCCTGATGCGGCGCCGTCTGCTCTCGGCCTCCTTCTCCTTCTCCTTGGCCTCCTCCTCGACGTCCTTCCGCTGCTGCCGCCGGCGGTTCCCGCTCCGCGCGGTCTCCCTCTCCTTCTCCTCGGCGGCCCTCTCCTCAGCCTCGAGCTCGGCCTGCATCTTGCTCTGCACATCCGCCATCCTTCTCTCTACGGCTCTCTGCCTGCGCATCTTTTTCCTGTCTTTCTTCTCCTGGTCCTTCTGGTCCTTCCACTCCTGTGGCGTCAACTTGTCCAAAAAACCTTTGAACTTGTGACACTCATTTTTCTGCTCTTGGTGCTTTGCGATCTCACTCTGAATGGCACTCAATTGGGATTTGAGCTGCTTTATTTTCTGCATCTTCTCCTGCTTCTGCTTGGTCATGTCTTCCGCTTTCTTCATCGCCTTGTGCGCTTTCGAGTCGTTGGTCGACAAGAAGGAGTCAAACCTCGTCATGTCCTCCTCGAGCATCTGCTGCGACCTCTTCAGAGCCTCCTCTTTCGCCTTGGCCCTCTCGTCGAGCTTGACGATCTCAGCCTTCTTGACGTCCAAGCTCATCTGCACGAGAAACATCTCTCTCTTCTTGGCCACGAACTCCTGCACGTTCTCCTTCTCGCGCCGGGAGTCTCGCCCCACCGACCTCAGCGCTTGGCCGATCACGAGGCCCAAACCGACGACCTCGTGACCAACCCACACCCCGATCGCAACGGATCCTCTGACAACCAGAAGCCGACCATGCCGTCGAGCCGAGCCCGATCGCATGGTCAGGCCGACCCGACCGCGCCAAGGGTGATCGCCCGATCAGCGATGGCTCGATCGGCCCATGCTGTGCCACGGACACCTCCATGCGGCTGCCTCCACGGCCCTTGGAGATGCTGAGCTCCGGCACGTCATCGGGCCCGGGGTCCACCCGGAAGTTCCTGGCCACGCGGGAGCAGGCGGTGGTCTTCTCCCAGACGTGTTGCGCCTTCCGCGCCTCCCTCTCCTGTCGGCGGCCAGAGGGCGAGAGCAAAGGAGAAGGGGCCACACCCTCGCAGGCCTCCTCGCCGAGACCTCTGGACAGACACGGCCCACGAGCGTCACACTTCCCCAAGGTCAGCAATGAATAGCCCCCCTCTGTTCCGGTGAAACGATAACGCACTAAGCACCCTGAAGCGTTATCCTGGCACCCTGGCACTTGACCGTTGCTTGGCACTCCTCTGGAGCCCCCAGCAAACCTCGAAAGTGGCGAGGAGGAGAAGGAAGAGGAGGAGGAGGAGAAGCAGGAGGAAGAGGAGAACAGGGAGGAGAAGGAGGACAGGGAGGGGGAGGAGGATAGGGAGGAGGAGGACAGGGAGGAGGAGGAGGAGGAGGAGGAGGAGGAGGAGGAGGAGAAGGAGGAGGGAGGAAGAGGGAGGAGGAGGAGGAGGAGGAGGAGGAGGAGGAGTCAACCGCAGAATATCTCTTCAAAGCGCTGCGAAAACAAACAGAACTCGTTTCCGCACCCTGGATGCGTAATACCTGCGTGCAGCCTCTGAGAAATCTGCGCGGTGCAATCCATGAGCTGCAAGCCCCGCAGGGCAGTCGATGCTGTGCACGCCACGTGATGCAACCTGTATGGTGCAAGCTGTGTGGCACAACCTGTGTGGCGCAGGCTGCCATGGAATCGATCTGATTCACGCTTTGTGGAGCAAAAGCTGCGCGGAGCAATCTGAAGAGGCCCTGGAACACACAAATAAATACACACAAATAAAAACATTCTCCCTATTTTCTCATATGTTCTGGGTTTCTGTCTTCCCCCCCACGGCCCTCTGTGTGTTTCTTCTCCTCCTGACAATCTACCGCGGACCCCGCGTGGGCGGCCACGGGCGCCCGCCTGGCGAAGCCTCGGCCGACCTGGCCCGCACTCGACGGGGCCCCCGCCAGGCGCGCACGGCCTGCCACCCGCATGGCATGGCATCGGGCGATGGCCGCACGGAGCCACACGACGACCGACCAAGCTCACTCCTCCTCCTCCTCCTCCTCCTCCCTCCGTCCTCCTCCTCCTCCTCCTCCTCCTCCTCCTTTCCTCTCCTCCTCCTCCTCCTCCTCCTCCTCCTCCTCCTCCGCCTCCTCCTCCTCCCTCCTCCTCCTCCTCCTCCTCCTCCTCCTCCTCCTCCGACCCCTGAAGTGCAGAGCACTGCCGGGAGAACGGAGCATCGGATCAGCATGCTGCATGTCTCTGCAGGGGTTTTCCTCTCGGGCTGGCCCTCCTTGCGACTCCCCTTACGTAGTTCCAATCGTGCTTCGGGACCACGTCCCAGAAATCTATTTCGAGTGCCCCGAAAAAGTGCCGCAACAGTGTCGGACGAGTATCGCCCCCCAGGGCCCGACACGTGAACACCCTCCAGTTCCGGTATTTTCCTGGTGCTCGAAAATCCCCCCTGGTGATCAACGCTGAAGTAGGTTGGAACACCATAGGACCCCCCCACAAACCCCAGGAGAGCCCAGAATCGAATCGAGAAGTCGGATCGGCAGTCGAAATGAATCGGATCGGCGGAAATCGGCAGCCGAGTCGGGAAAAGTCGAATCGGCTGAAATTGGCAGGCTAGTATGCCTCCAATAAGAAATCGGAACCCAAATCGGAATCCCAAGTCGAATCGAATCGGAATCGGACGCCATCGAAGTCGAATCGAATCGAATCGGAGAATTCGAAACGAGCCCTGAAACCCTGTTCCGTCGCCGCTGGTCCTCGGCACGCCTCTGCCTCTCCTGCTCGCGGATGACGAAGATCTGGTCGTCCGGGGGCACCCTGAACGGGTTCTCGTCCGCCATTCGGCGGCGGGAAGGCCCCAGAGGAGCGCGACGCGGGGCCGAGGCCTCGCCTGGGGGCCCAGGGCCTCGAGGAGCGGCGGCTGCGGAGAGCCGCTGCCGCAGCCGCCGTGGCCGCCGCCGCGGACGCAAGCGCCGTCGCCGTCGTGATCGTCGCCGTCGTTCGCCTCCGCCTCCCCCCCGCCTCATCGAGAAAAACCCGTTCCCTGGTTGAACGGCTCGCTCCCCGGTGGAACGACTCGTTCCCCGGCGGAAGTTCGACATGTTTTTTTAGTAGACGGAACTTCTGAAAAGGGATCTCGGCGGCCGCCAAAAAGGTCCTTGCCGGCCCTTGAGAACGTTCTTGGCGACCCCTGAGAGGGTTCTTGGCGGCCCATGAAAAGTTTATTTGGCGGCCCTGAGAGTCTTGCTTGGCGGCCACCTGAGGCGCCTCTTGGCGTCCCCTGAGAAGCTTCCTGGTGGCCCCTGAGAGGGCTCTTGGCGGCCCCTGAGAGGCCTCCTGGCGGCCCCATGAGAGGTTTTTGTTTGGCAGCCTCTGAAAAGGTCGTTGCGGCCTCTGAAAGGTGTCTGGCTGCCTCTGGAAAAGGCTTCTTGGCAACCTCCAATTGGAAGCCTCTGGGAGCCCTGGGAGACGATTCTGGGAAATCTTTATGGGAAAAAAAACGTCTGTAAGCCCTCGTGGAGGCCTCTGATGGCCTTCAGAGTGATCTCTCTCTCTCTCTTTCTGAGAGGTGCTTCTGGGAGGCCTCTGGAAAGGCCTCGGATCTATCCTCGAAGTCTCTCTGAGAGCCATCTGAAAGCTCTGTGGGAGTTTTCTGAATCATCTGAAAGCCGTCAGAATAGCTTCTTGTGGCTAGGTGGCCGCGGCTGCACTCCTTCGTCTGCTCGCGTTCCTGGTGGGCCACTGCCGCGGGAGGAGAAGATGCGCATGCGCGCAATCCCCATCGTTTTCGCCGCCTTGAAGACAAGGAGCCGCCCGCACCTCCTCTGGGCCTTCTCTGGCTGCCCCCTCTCAGCCCCCAGAGGCCTTGGGCCCCGCCTCGCATGGCGGCGCCCCCCTGTGGGATGCCTCGAGAGGACCTGGAGTGGTGCTCAAACGAGAACCCCGTTTTGAATAAGGAGCCGCCCTCAGCCCCCCACCCCTCTGGGCCTTCTCTCGTTGCCCCCCCCCATCAGCCCCCAGGGGCGTGGGTCCCCGCCTTGCACGGCGCCTCCCTCTGGGATGCCTCGAGGGGACTTGAAGTGGAGCTCGAGCGAGAACCCCGTTTTGAAAGAGGAGCCGCACGCACCTCCTTCTCCTCTGGGCCTTCTCTGGTTGCCCCCCTCAGCCCCCAGAGGACCCGGGCCCCGCCTCGCATGGCGCCTCCCTCTGGGATCCCTCCAGAGGGTCCCTGTTGCAGGCGGAACGCAAACAGGCAAAACAACATTCAGACCGACAGTGCGTCAGAGCAAACGGGCAGGCGGCAACAAAATTTTAACTCGAGCAGAACAAACGAACAAACGACCAGAGCAAACGAGCAGGCGATTGGAGCAAACGAGAAGGCGACTGACGGCGGCAACGACATTACCTCGCCCCGCGGGCCCCCGTTCATGCGCGACTCTCAACACTGATGGTGATGGTGGGTTTCTGGGGCTCGTTCCTGGGTTGCGAGCTGTTTTGTTCGTGGCTGGTTGTGGGTCGGCGGTCCACCTCCTCCTCCTCCTCCTCCTTTTCCTCCTCCTCCTCCTGCCCCCCCCCCCTCCTCCTCCTCTCCACTTGTTTTCCCTCCTCGTCCTCGCCGTCCCTCGCCTTCTCCCGTTCCTCCCCCGGTTCTCTGGCTGTTCCTCCTTCAGCCCCTCCACCTCCTGTTCCTCTTGCTCCTTGTCCTCATGTTGTTCCCCCTCCTTCTCCTCCTCCTCCTCCTCCTGAATCCTCTTTCCTCTTCCCCCCCTTCTGTTCCCGCTCCTCCTCCTCCTCCTCCTCCTCCTCCCCCTCCTCCTCCTCGATCCTGTTTCCTCTTCCTCCTCCCGCCCCTCTTACTTCTCATCTTCTTTTTTGTCCGTCCCCATCTCCTCGTCCTCGTCTTCGTCCTCGTCCTCCTCCTCCTCCTCCTCCTCGTCCTCTTCCGCGCGATGGGTCCATCGTGCGCAACACCTTTCGGTGATTCAGAAGCGCAAGTTCTCCAACATTGAGGAGAACAACGCCATTGCCAGGCACACTTGTACAACACCATTTCTGACGAACTCGTTCCCCGGTCGGATTCGAATTGTTGCGGCGGCAACGTAAGTGGCTACGTGTAAAGGTTGACCTCGTGTTGATGGTTGCTACGACATCGTAGCAAAACGGTTTTAATTGTGAACTCCGCTGGGGAACGAGTTCTTTCAAATTGGTGTCACTTCCGCTGGGGAACGAGTCGATCAACCGGGGAAGGAGTCGTTCAACCGGGGAACGAATCGCTCGCCCCCCTCCTCCACCCCCAGAAAGCTGAGCCCGCGGGCCTCCGCTGGGCTCTGAGATCAAGAAGGGGCACACGCTTTCGTGGCACAGTGACAGGGCCGATCCATGGAAACATCCCCGGGGTTCGTCCTGATCAGCGTATGGCCAGGACTCCAACTGCGGCGGCCAGAGATCTGGCACAAGAAACCGACGAAAATACATCGGGTTAGTCCGAGAGGGCCTTTCCTGTACCACCGTTCCCTGCCTTGCCATTTTGCAATTAGTCCTTCCCGAGTGTCTCGCGTGCCAGGCAACCGCGTGATGCCCTCGAAATCATTGTGATCACCTTGGCAAGGCGCTGGGGAGGCGCCACGCTGTGAGCTCAACGACCACAGCGGTAATCGAAGATCCACCAGCCACCCGAGCACACAAGCCGAAAGGCCAGTTGCATTGAGAAGCTACCCTGCCCTGCAAGAGCCGCAGCTTTCCTAGCGCAAGCGCGAGCCTGCCGCATGGGGTCCAGACTACAGTCGGGCCGCTGGCCTAAGGAACGATAAATAAGGAACGAGTCCCCTTTTTACAAACAAATACATGAAGTCCGAAGGAAGGCTCGCCGCCCAAACAAAGCGGAACGCACGCAAACCTAAGAAACGACCGAGCCCATTGTGAAAATTTAGCGTTCCTTATTCAGCGGCCCGACTGTAGGGGTCGTCTCGAGCGCTGCTGCTGCTGATGTTGTCTCTGATGCTGTTCACGTGCATGGACCGCGGCACTTCGTCACCCGACGCTTTTTTTCTCATGTTGTGTTCGGCGTTGTTGGCTGTCACGAAGGGCGCGTCCGTCACTGAGGAAGCGGACTCCGAGTTTGAATGACTTTAGTTGTTGGCCGCCTCCGCCACGGAATTCGCGCTGAAATTTCGCAGAGTAGTAGTCGCCAGAGCGCTACCAAAGTCGGTCAAGCCTGGCTGCCCTCTATATCCCTGCGAATGGTTCCCAACCGAACGAGCGCGTGACCGCAGATGAGCAGCAATCGCCTGTCTGGCTGTTGCCGCTCAACAACCGTGAGGTGTTGCTGGGCCAGCGCGATACCATGCATGATCGGTTCCACAAATGCACACGGCCGTGCGTGAAAACATGCAGAACGCTGGTTCATCTCCCTAGCGGAGAGGGGATGATCTTGAAGTGCCTCTGCGATCCCTGTCTTTGCGGGGCCAGGCGAACAACCACCTAGCAACCAGCCGGTCATTGTTAAGGTGAATCTGTCATGGGGTGAGGGGCATTACAAGCTAGGCGGGCTTGCGCCATATCTGAAATCCTACCCCTCCCTCATACCCCTTCCCATTGTGCTGTTTTATCCATCCGCGCACGAGTGCCAAAGCGGACCTGGATCTCCAAAACACGACCCCTGTCGTGTCGTGCGGCGCCAGCGGGAAAAGGAGAGCTGCGTACATATGAGGAGGAGGAGGAATAGGAGAAGGAATAGGAGGAGGAGGAGGAGGAGGAGGAGGAGAAGGAACACGAGCACGAGGAAGAGGAGGAGCATCAGGAATGACGAGGACGAACATCAGCAGCAGCAGTAACTGAAGTGGAAGGAGCGGGAGAAGCACGAGGACCAGGAGAAGGCGGAGGAGGGGAAAGGAGGGGGGCGACAACGGTGTCGAAGGAATCGGATCGAGCAAAATTGCCCGCGCTGGGGCGAAAGCACCATTCTGAATGAAGGGAGCAGAATCGCAATCCTAAAATGAGGCCCACGCTGCAGCGGGAGCCCGATGTTGGAAGGAGCGAGAACGTTCGGATTGGAAAAACAAGTAAGAAGGCGCGACGCGCCCACACAATGTGTGTAATATAAGAATGCACGCCAGGTGGGGCGGATACTCGCAGCACATCTTCGGCTGATAGAGGCAACCAGCCTTCATATGGTGCACTCGTAAGGGCGGAAGCACAAGGAGCGGGATGAGGGGCAATGCGGGGAGAGGGGGCGCGACGGAAGGCGGCGGAACCGAGGAGGCCCAAACCACCCGGCGTGTTCACCTTCGTTCGAGACAGGGCCCCCCCCCCGAACTCTCGAACGCTTCCCAAGGACCGGGATGCCAGCGCGAGCCGTAATCGGACCGTCCCGAAGCCAGGCAAGGGCCCCGAGAGGCCGAAAACGAGGAAGAGCCTCCGTCTCGATTTGTTTCCGAAACGCCAGGATGTCTGGAACTAAAATCATGGGCTTGTCTTCCACTGCCACTACCATAAGTAGGAGGGGGGGAGGCGTCCTCCTCCTCCTCCCCTCCTCCGCTTCCTCCTCCTCCTCCTCCTCCTCCTCCTCTTCCTCCCCCTCCTTCTGTTCCTCCTCCTCCTCTCCATCTCTGTCCCTTCCCCTCACAATCACAGTAGTGCTAGAGGAATAGGGAAAAACAAACCTGCCTCGCTTTTGACCACCCTCGCTCCCAAGAGATGCCAAGCGATGCCAAACTGCGGCCTGTACTGGTCAGGCCGCTTGACGAGGGGGCGCGTGGTATGGCTTGGTTTTGCCTGGAAGCGAAAGCGGGGAAGGAAATTCACGCTCTGAAGGTAATCCACTAGCTTAGATATGAGGGGG